GAGGCTGCATGGAGAAATTTCCCTTTGTATTCTTTGTTTGCACAGCTCCTGGGGTTCAGCTTTTATTTTGACCCTGCCTCTGCGTGCAAGCCGCCCTCGGGCATCTGTTCCCCACCCAGACAAGAGGGGGTTAAAGCAGTGGCTGATTAGGCCTCTCTTGCTCACTCAGGCTGGGAGAGGGAGAGGTATGATAGTTATAATTAGAATGTGGGTTCAGCCTGTGGTGGCAGAGGCTGGCGTGACATTGCAACAGCCTGAGGCGCTCTCTGTGTTCTCCTGGGGAGGTTGTCCCTGGACCCCTGGACCTTGGCAGTGGTGTGCTGCACAGGCTCCCGGAGAGGTGTGGGTAGTGACCTGTGCTCGCACAAAGGATTTTTGGTGGCAGCGTTAGCATTTCACGCCTATCTCTGGGGTCTGAGCTGATAGCTGTGGCTCGTGTCCATCTCTGGAGCTTGTTTAGGTGGTGCTCTGAATCCCCTCTCCTTGTGCACCCTGAAAGAATGGTCTCTTGCCTCTTTGGCAGGTCCAGACATTTTCCCGGACTCCCTCCCAGCTAGCTGTGGTGCACTAGCCCCCCTTCAGGCTGTGTTCACACAGCCAACTCCAGTCCTCTCCCTGGCATCTGACCGAGGCCCGCGCCTCAGCTCCCAGCCCCTGCCCATCCTGGCGGGTGGGCAGACAAGCCTTTCAGGCTGGTGAGTTCTGGTTGGCACCGATCCTCTGTGCGGGAATCTCTCCACTTTGCCCTCTGGACCCCTGTTGCTGTGCTCTCATCCATGGCTCAAATGCTTCCCCCCGCCAACCCCTCATCTCCACCTGTGAAGGGACTTCCTAGTGTGTGGAAACATTTCCTCCTTCACAGCTCCCTCCCACTGGTGCAGGTGCCGTCCCTATTCTTTTGTCTCTGTTTTTTCTTTTTTTTCTTTTGCCCTACCCAGGTACGTGGGGGAGTTTCTTGCCTTTTGGGAGGTCTGAGGTCTTCTGCCAGCGTTCAGTAGGTGTTCTGTAGGAGTTGTTCCACGTGTAGATGTATTTCTGATGTATCTGTGGGGAGGAAGGTGAACTCCACATCTTACTCCTCCACCGTCTTGAAGATCTCCTCCCTTTCTCTGCCTTTTCCAGCTTATAGAAGCTGCAGTTATAGAAGAAAACGATTCAAGGTGGGAATGAAGCCTGCTCCTGCATCTCTAGGAGACTTCTCTCCTGATGCTGAGCTGCGTACTGATGCCCTTCCGGCCAGAGGCTTTCCTGTACTAAGAAAGCAAAAATATGACCATCTCAGGATGGAAGGAGCTAGAAACAGCTGCACAGATGTGCCCAAGTCACCCTGGCTTCTTAGAGATCTTAGTTTCTAACAACTTTCACTTTTAGTTATGTATTTTTCATATAATCAGTTACGTCTTTTGGGCTGAAGATGAACAATACATCATACAACCAGGGAAAGAGATCAGTTTTGTTTTGAAAATTCAGTATCCTATTAAATCTTTTAAATTGTCTTATAAAATATTTCAAGCTTGGATTTTCTGTAATTTAGCTTATAATAACCACTGAGGGAGATCTTACAATGGTTGATTAGGCTTTAAAAGCTTTTCCTGATTATCTTCAGAAAGACCTGATTATCTTCCTGCTTCTGGGGGAGAGGGTCTATTGGGGAATGCTCCACAAATGAAGTGTGAAGGGGGAAGAGTTGCCTCTGTTCTTGTGTTAACTTGTAGTAAGTGAATAGCTAATACAACTTTGTTTCTTCATTCATTCAGTGTATTTACAGAGGCCTTTGCATGTGCTAGGGTCTATGCTGGCAGTAAGCATAGATATGAATTAGACACAGATTGGCTTTCAGGGGGCTTCCAGTCTAGTATGATAGATAGGTATGGAAATATCATATAAACTAAGTGCAAGAAAATGTCATGGATTTTTCTGAAGCATCTATATAGTATACAATGAGGATAAAATGGGAATGGACCCATGATTTTATTATCAGAAAATGGGGGAGCATCACTTGATATCCTTGTAAGTTCTTACCCAGAGTAGCAGACATATGAATGAAACAGCATTCTGAAGGAGGCCTGCCAGTATCCATATACTGGTTCAAGACTCCCGTAAATATTTCTGGAGTATCCACCTTAAGTCAAGAACTCTTTGATGATTAAGAATTTATTGACTAAATGGTCAAATAAAAAGGGAAATTCATTACAGAAGAATCAAAGAAGGAGAATATTCTTCTTGCCAAAAGAATAGAGAAAAGGGAAATAAATAGGTAGTGAAAATTCAAGGGAGTCTACCTTAATATTAAATATTTATCTAGTAGGTGTTGAAAGTTTTTCCATACTCTAATCAGGCTTATGAAATTTGAAACAACCCCATAAATGTAAAAATATGAGATTTCTTTTGTGGCTTTCCTTGCAGTGGTAAAAACAGAATATGTGACTTATAAAATAATCTTGGCTTTATAAATCTATGGGGAATAGCTTAAACTCTCAAGTGTTCTTATATTTCTTGAGAAAGAAAAGATATTATTTTCTATAACAGTCATTTTAAACCAAAGCAGCAGTAGATGATTTAATATGGGGGAAAAAAAAACCTAATAACTTATTAGAAATACAGGCTAAGAATAGGCAGTTCATAGAGAAAGAAATATGAATGGGTTATACAGATATAAAAGATATTCAGCATTACAGTTAAAGATATGCAAAGAAAAGCAAGGAGATACTTACCTGATTGCCAACATTTAGACATTTGATAATATCTGGTGTTGAAGAGTGAAGAAGCTGTTAACCTCGAACATTGTAGATGAGAGAAATATGGGTGCAACCATTTTGGAGAGCAGTTGGATGCTAATAGAATTGAAGATGGACACATATCCTGTGACCTAGTAACTCCACATCCAGAAATTTATCCTAAGATAAGTGGTCAAAGAAGTTATGAACAAAAATGTTTCTGTAGCCTTGTTTCTAATAGCAGTACCAAAATGTAACTATCAATTGGAGATCAGTTAAGTAAATTCTGGCTGATTCATACCATGGAACATTACACCACTATTAAAGAGTAAGATATAAATACATTTGTGCTAACATAGAAATATCTCTATCATTACAAAGCAAGATGCAGAGCCGTGTGTTTGTTGCCTGTAAATGGAAGATATTTTAATGGGTACCCAAGAAACTTCTAATAGTGGTTCTACAGGGAGTGGAATGGGTGGATTTGGAGTAGGAAGGAGATTTACCTTTTATTGTATACATTGGATTCTGTTTCACTTGTTTCCCTATGTATATGTTTCTTTTTTCAATTAAAAAGAAAAAAAACTAGTTTAAATAGTAGACAGAAGAGCTCAGTGATGGAATGGTAGTGTCAGAGGACTATTTGTAGTCCATGAAATACAGAAAAATTCATCTACTTAGTCATTCTGAGCTCTAACAGTACTTCTAATTCTTTTTCTGCAGCCTCTAGTGAACCTCCAGATAGCGTTCACCAGTGCTTCCTTGACTCTCTCTTGGTTTCCACACATTAGATAAAACAGCCACGTCCATCAACTAATGAAGGATAGATAAAATGTAGTATACCATACAATGGCATATTATTTGGCAGGTAAAAAGAAGTGAAATATTGATACATGCTACAACATGTAGTGTGAATGGCTGAACCTGGAAAGTATTAATGGTGAATGAAAGAAGCCAGACACAGGGGGCCACATACTTTCTGATTCCATTGATGTGAAATATCCAGAATAGGTAACTCTATAGAGAAAGTAGATTAGTGTTTGCCTAGGGCTGAGGGGAAGGATTTCAGGAGTGAGTGTTAAAGGATGTGGAGTGAGGTTAGGGTTATTCACACAGCTCTGTGAATAAACAAAAGGCTGTTGAATTGTATACTTTAAATGGGTGAATTGTATGGTATGTGAATTATATCTCAATAAAGCTGATAAAAAAAGGAAAGGTGAGGAGAACTTACAGAGAACTGAAAATGATTCTGGAATGACTATGTGATACCTGTCTCTCTAATGTGATTATCACTGTAGTTCTCTTTTTGTTCTTCCTTCCTAGCTTTCTTTTTCATTCATTCATTCATTTACAAATATTTATTTGAACACCCATTCTGTATCAGGCATTATGTGAAATGTTGCTTATATAGTTGTAAAGAATACACATGTAGGCTTTGCTCACATGGAGCATCCAGTCTATTGGGGAAAAGAGATATTAAATAAATATTCACACAGATACATGTCTGACTACATACTGTGCTCTGAAATCTGAGGGAAAAGGCTAGGATGCTGTAGGAGATGGAGGGGAGATATGATCCAGATTTGTGAGTTGTTGAGGGCTCCCTACAAAGTGACATTGAAACTGAACTCTGAAGGATAAGTAGGAATTAGCTGGGTGAAGATTGTGTTGAAAAGCATTCTAGGCAGTTGGATCTGCCTGTGTCAGTGCTCTGAGGTGTGAACTGATTTGGTGCTCTTAAGGAAGGGCAAGTGGGTCAGAGCATGGTGAGCAAGGGAGGTGTTGTGTATTTCATATTTGATAAGCAGAGAAAGGAAAGATTCCTCAGGCATTTTGGCCATATCATATTAAGTTTATGAAAGAAATAAGAACCACTTAGAGTTTTAAAGCGGAATTCCGGCATGATATTTACAATTAAAGATATTGTTTTGATTGGTGAGCTGAGGGCAGCATCAGTGGAAGTGCAAACACCAGTTTGGTAGTAATTGCAGTGTCCAGATGAGATATCATGAAGGTTGATGATAGAGGTGGCTAAAAGCAGATGGATTTAAGATATGGTTCAAAGACTAAGACTTGATGGATTAGACACAGGTGATGTTGTAGGTATCCAGGATGACTCCCAGATTTTTGGTTTGAAAAGCCAGTATCATTAACTGAGTTGGGGAAGAAAGAAGTAAGAGCAGATTTGGAATGCTACAAATGGTATTCTCAATGCCTGTAGGTGGATCACTGTAAATATTATTCAGTGGGCAGAGTTGCTTCCTTCTTGGATTAAAAAAGAATAAAGACAGATCCTCTTGGCACTTCATGGATAATACAGATAAACCCTGCACTAATTGCAGACATTCAGGATGATTCTGTTGAACTGTGTCACATACTGTACTGTGTGGGCTAAATTAATTACATTTACTTTTATCTGTTTTTATGTCTCTTTTCTTTGTTGGGCTGAGCTATTTGAGGACTGCATCTGCTTCTTATTCATCTTTTGAGGTCCTAATGCATAGTGCGGATTTTGGTAATAAGCATGACATACTGAATAAATGAATGGAGAGGGTACATAGCAAAGTGTTCAAACTAATGTGTTGACCTGGAAAAAGAAGAGGGAGAGAGGACAGTTTATGGGCAATGACTCAAAGATGCAGGGAGAGGATGGGCTTAAAAGCACAGGTTGAAAAATGGTGCTGTACAAAGGAAGGGATAACCCCGCCCTTTTTTTTTTTTTTTTTGAGACACTAGTAAGGAAGAGTGAAGACTCCTTCTGGCACAAAGATGAAGCAAAGACATAGATGTCATTAGAGTTGAGTAAAGGCTAAGTAAAGTGAAGCCTAATGGGTTGGATATAGAAGTTGTTCCAGAAGATAACAGGACTTTGAGATGGAGAAGACAATTAGGAGAGTACAAGTTATCAATGAATGGAATGGTCAGTAGGCTTCCCAAGGTCCATAGGATAAAAAGCCCCTTATGACAAAGACACTGCCCACCTTTCAGCTCCATGTTTCGCTGATTCCACTTTCCTAAATATTTTTCATGTTCTCTGCTTCATGTCCTTTCATATGCTCTTCCCTCTTCCTTCTTCATCTACTCTTTTTAGAGAATTCTTGTTCATCCTTCAGGACCTACCTCATGTCTCATATCCATTTGGAAGCATAGTTAAATGCCCCTTCTGTGAGATCCCACACATCCTGAATTTATGTCTGTCATAGGACTTATCAAATTCTATTGCATTGTCTGTGTACACCCGTTTTATTTGGCACACTATGAGTTCTTTGAAGACGTGACCTCTGCTTTGCTCATCTCTTTGCTTCCAGCACCTAATTTTTACAATGTCTCCAGGAGGTGCTGAAGTATGCTCAGTGAATGAACTGTAGAAATCTTCTCTTTTGAACAGGAAACATGCATGGGACATTTTCAGACATAGCCACGATGAGGACTGACTCTGTGCATTGGGCATCTCCTTAAAGTATCACTTGGGAACAAGACTCAGTGCTCTATAGCCTTATGACAAAAGGAATCTGGATAGTTCAGAAGAAGGAATGGTTAGCAAAGAGCAACTGACTTTCATATAAAAGAACCAAAAGCTGCATATAGTTTGGTCTGATTAGATAATTTCAAAAGAAACAACACACACAAAAATACACAACCAGGGGCTTCCCTGGTGGCTCAGTGGTTGAGAGTCTGCCTGCCGATGCAGGGGATGCGGGTTTGTGCCCCGGTCCGGGAAGATCCCCCGTGCCGCGGAGTAGCTGGGCCTGTGAGCCATGGCCGCTGAGCCTGCGCGTCCGGAGGCTGTGCTCCGCAACGGGAAAGGCCACAACAGTGAGAGGCCTGTGTACCGCAAAAAAAGAAAACCAACACAACCAGGCTTTTTCCACATGGAGACACCAGAAAAAAAAATTCATCTTCAGAATTTCATGTACTCTTAAGGTTGTATGTGACTTTGAAGGACAAAGTAGCATGATTTTTGAACTATTCTCTGCTACATAGAAACAGCTTTGTTGCACATAAATACACTAATGGGATTTTACCAGTGTCTTTAAAAAATTGATGAGTGTACTAAAAAATCATTTGTGGCTGTAAAGAACTTGGTAATGCCTAACTGTTAGAAGCAGCATGAATAGTAGAGAGGGATCCCAGCTCTGCCTCTAACTAGATTTGTGACCTTAGGCACGACTCTGAGCCTCAGTTTCACCATCTATATGTAAAAAAGAGTTGGAGTAGGCATTCTTTAAGAGACCGCATCCTGCAGAAATATTCAGAAACTGTATCCGTTGGCTCTTTGGAGAGTGTGTGTGTGTGTGTGTGTGTGTGTGTGTGTGTGTGCGAGCATGTTTCTGTAATGGAAAACAGTGGTCTCTGTAAGGCTCAAAGGGTTAAGGTTCTGTAAAAACAAAAGAGAGTCATAACTTATTGATTCAAAATCCAGTTATTCAAATTCCTAATAATGTGGTCATGAGGCAGTCCTCACTGGAATATCTAATTATTTGAGTTTCTAAACATGAAGAGGAATAAAACTGAAGAGAGGGCTGTGGAATCAGCCAGATATGGTTTGAATCTTGGTTCTGCCACTGACTTTGCCATTTTGGGAAAACTATCTAACCTCTTTAAATCTAATTCCTCATCTGTAAATGTGGTCAGTAACGGTCTCTGCCTCTGTAAGGACTTGAAAGGATTAACTGTAATATAATATTTTAAAATACTTAGCACAGTGTTTGGCCTATTGTAAGTGCTAAATACTAATACTAATATTAATACTTGTATTTCAATTTGGTCTTGTATATGTAAAATATGGTTTTAACTGATCTGTCTTACCAGAACCTGGGCCAGGAGGGAGTCTTTAGAGGGCATATGAGGAAAGAGCAGCTGGGAGTGACTACAGATCTTCAGACGAAGAGTAATTCAAGATTTTCATTTTTACAGATGAGGAAATAATATCTCAGGGCAGTTTTGACATACCCAATGTCATACAGATAAAGTCACACAAAAATGCAATATAAGGAAAACCATAGGAAGATGTTGTATGAGGCCACTAACATTATATATAATGACATCACAATCTATAATAAGCTTTCTGTATGGTTGAATTATACACCTGAGTAACAGTAGGTGTGAGCTTTGGACCTAGGTTGATTTCTATACATGCCCAGTTTGGGAATGTTCAGCTTAAGTTTCTAGATTATGTTGTTTTTTTAAGAAATAGGATCCCAAAAGATCCTACCCACTTCATTCTTTAAGGCTGTTGCTACATGAGACAAAATATTCTCAACCAAGATGGGCAACAGAATTCCCTGGGAAAATTTAAAAAATTTCCTGATAACTTGGCCTCACTACCAGAACTTGCTGATGTTTAGATCTGGAGAGGGGAATGTCTCAGAATTTTTTATCTCACTTTTTCTTAAGAATTTCCAAATAGTAATTTTAATATATACAGTTGGTTCTTGGTATCCACAAGTTTCACATCTGCAGATTCAACCTACCAAAGATGAAGGATATTTGAAAAAAAAAAATTTTCCAGAAAATTCCAAAAAGTAAAACTTGAATTTGCCTTGTGGTGGCAGCTATTTACATAACATTTACATTGTATTTACAACAATTTACATAACATTTACATTGTGTTAGGTATTATAAGTAATCTGGAGGTGACTTAAAGTATGAGAGGGAGGAGCTTCAAGAAGGCTGAAGAGTAAGACTTGGAGATCACCTTCCTCCCCACAAATACATCAGAAAGACATCTACACGTAGAACACTCCTACAGAACACCTACTGATCACTGGCAGAAGACCTCAGACCTCCCAAAAGGCAAGAAACTACCCACGTACGTGGGTAGGGCAAAAGAAAAAAGAAAAAACACGGACAAAAGAATAGGGACGGGGCCTGCAGCAGTGGGAGGGAGCTGTGAAGGAGGAAAGGTTTCCACACACTAGGAAACCCCTTCGCGGGCGGAGCCTGCGAGTGGCGGAGGGGGGAAGCTTCGGAGCCACGGAGGAGAGCGCAGCAACAGGGGTGCGGAGGGCAAAGCAGAGAGATTGCCGCACAGGGAATTGGTGCTGATTAGCACTCACCAGCCCGAGAGGCTTGTCTGCTCACCCGCCGGCGCGGGCGGGGCTGGGAGCTGAGGCTCCGGCTTCCATCGGATCGCAGGGAGAGGACTGGGGTTGGCTGCGTGAACACAGCCTGAAGGGGTTAGTGCACCACAGCTAGCCGTGAGGGAGTCCGGGAAAAGTCTGGAGCTGCCGAAGAGGCAAGAGACTTTTTCTTCCCTCTTTGTTTCCTGGTGCGCGAGGAGAGGGGATTAAGAGCGCCGCTTAAAGGAGCTCCAGAGACGGGCATGAGACGCTAAGGCTGCTGCTGCCGCCACCAACAAGCCTGTGTGCGAGCACAGGTCACTATCCACACCCTTTCCGGGGAGCCTGTGCAGCCCGCCACTGCCAGGGTCCCGGGATCCAGGGACAACTTCCCCGGGAGAACGCACGGCGCGCCTCAGGCTGGTGCAACGTCACGCCGGCCTCTGCCGCCGCAGGCTCGCCCCGCATTCCGTGACCCTCCCTCTCCCCTCATGAGTGAGCCAGAGCTCCCGAAGCAGCGGCTCCTTTAACCCCGTCCTGTCTGAGTGAAGAACAGACGCCCTCAGGTGACCTACACGCACAGACGGGTCCAAATCCAAAGCTGACCCCAGGAGCTGTGTGGACAAAGAAGAGAAAGGGAAGTCTCTCTCAGCAGCCTCAGGAGCAGCGGATTAAAACTCCACAATCACCTTGATGTACCCTGCATCTCTGGAATACCTGAGTAGACAACGAATCATCCCAAATTGAGGAGGTGGACTTTGGGAGCAACGATATACATTTTTTTTTCCTTGTTCTTTTTTTGTGAGTGTGTATGCTTCTGTGTGTGATTTTGTCTGTATAGCTTTGCTTTTACCATTTGTCCTAGGGTTCTGTCTGTCTTTTTTTTTTTTTTAAGGATAGTTTTTAGCACTTGTTATCATTGGTGGATTTTTTTTTGGTTTGGCTGCTCTCTTCTTTCTTTCTTTTTTTTTTATTACTTAAAAATTTTTTTTTAATAATTATTTTTTATTTTAATAACTTTCTTTCTTTCTTTCTTTCTGTCTTTCTTTTTCTCCCTTTTATTCTGAGCCATGTGGATGACAGGCTATTGGTGCTGCAGTCAGGCGTCAGGGCTGTGCCTCTCAGGTAGCAGACCCAAGTTCAGGACTTGGTCCACAAGAGACCTCCCAGCCAAATAATATCAAATGGCAAAAACCTCCCAGAGATCTCCATCTCAATGCCAAGACCCAGCTCTACTCAACAACCAGCAAGCTCCGGTGCTGGACACCCTATGCCAAACAACTAGCAAGACAGGAACACAACCCCAACCATTAGCAGAGAGGCTACCTCAAATCATAATAAGGTCACAGACACCCCAAAACACACCACCAGACGTGGACCTGCCCACCAGAAAGACAAGATCCAGCCTCATCCACCAGAACTCAGACACTAGTCCCCTGTACCAGAAAGCGTACAAAACTCACTGAACAAACCTTAGCCACTGGGGGCAGACACAAAAAACAAGGGGAACTACGAACCTGCAGCCTGTGAAAAGGAGACCGCAAACACAGTAAGTTAAGCAAAATGAGAAGACAGAGAAACACACAGCAGATGAAGGAGCAATGTAAAAACCCACCAGACCAAACAAATGAAGAGGAAATAGGCAGTCTACCTGAAAAAGAATTCAGAAAAAAGAAAGTAAAGATGATCCAAAATCTTGGAAATAAAATGGAGAAAATACAAGAAAAGTTTAACAAGGACCTAGAAGAACTAAAGAGCAAACAAACAATGATGAACACACAGTAAATGATATTAAAAATTCTCTAGAAGGGATTAATAGCAGTATAACTGAGGCAGAAGAACGGATAACTGACCTGGAAGATAAAATAGTGGAAATAACTACCACAGAGCAGAATAAAGAAAAAAAAAATGAAAAGAATTGAGGACAGTCTCAGAGACCTCTGGGGCAACATTAAATGCACCAACATTCGAATTATAGGGGTCCCAGAAGAAAAAGAGTAAAAGAAAGGGACTGAGAAAATATTTGAAGAGATTATAGTTTAAAACTTCCCTAATATGAGAAAGGAAATAGTTAATCAAGTCCAGGAAGCACAAAGAATCCCATACAGGATAAATCCATGGAGAAACATGCCAAGACACACATTAATCAAACTATCAAAAATTAAATACAAAGAAAAAATATTAAAAGCAGCAAGGGAAAAACAACAAATAACATAAAAGGGAATCCCCATAAGGTTATAGCTGACCTTTCAGCAGAAACTCTCCAAGCCAGAAGGGAGTGGCAGGACATATTTAAAGTGATGAAGGGGAAAAGCCACAACCAAGATTACTCTACCCAGAAAGGATCTCATTCAGATTTGATGGAGAAATTAAAACCTTTACAGACAAGCAAAAGCTAAGAGAATTCAGCACCACCAAACCAGCTTTACAACAAATGTTAAAAGAACTTTTTGGGCTTCCCTGGTGGCGCCATGGTTGAGAGTCCGCCTGCCGATGCAGGGGACACGGGTTTGTGCCCCAGTCCGGGAAGATCCCACATGCCGCGGAGCAGCTGGGCCCGTGAGCCATGGCCGCTGGGTCCGTGTGTCCGGAGCCTGTGCTCTGCAACAGGAGAGGCCACAACAGTGAGAGGCCCACATACCACAAAAAAAAAAAAAAAAAAAGAACTTCTCTAGGTAGGAAACACCGAGAAGGAAAAGACCTACCAAAATAAACCCAAAACAATTAAGAAAATGGTAATAAGAGCATACATATCGATAATTACCTTAAATGTAAATGAATTAAATGCTCCAACCAAAAGACATAGACTGGCTGAATGGATACAAAAACAAGACCCATATATATGCTGTCGACAAGAGACCCACCTCAGACCTAGGGACACATACAGACTGAAAGTGAGGGGATGGAAAAAGATATTCCATGCAAATGGAAATCAAAAGGAAGCTGGAATAGCAATTCTCATATCAGACAAAATAGACTTTAAAACAAAGACTATTACAAGAGACAAAGAAGGACACTACATAATGATCAAGGGATCAATCCAAGAAGAAGATATAACAATTGTAAATATTTATGCATCCAACATAGGATCACCTCAGTACATAAGGCAAATGCTAACAACCATAAAAGGGGAAATTGACAGTAACACAATCATGGTAGGGGACTTTAACACCCCACTTTCACCAATGGACAGATGATCCAAAATGAAAATAAATAAGGAAACACAAGCTTTAAATGGTACATTAAACAAGATGGACTTAATTTATATTTATAGGACATTTCACCTAAAAACAACAGAATACACATTTGTCTCAAGTGCTCATGGAACATTCTCCAGGATAGATCATATCTTGGGTCACAAATCAAGCCTTAGTGAATTTAAGAAAATTGAAATCGGATCAAGTTTCTTTTCCAACCACAATGCTATAAGATTAGATATCAATTATAGGAAAAAAAACTGTAAAGAATACAAACACATAGAGGCTAAACAATATGCTACTAAATTACCAAGAGATCACTGAAGAAATCCAAGAGGAAATCAAAAAATACCTAGAAGAAATGAAAATGAAAATATGACGACATATAAAGTATGGGATGCAGCAAAAGCAGTTCTAAGAGACAAGTTTATAGCAATACAATCCTACCTCAAAAAACAAGAAACATCTCAAATAAACAACCTAACCTTACACCTAAAGCAATTAGAAAAAAAACAAAAAACCTCCAAAGTTAGCAGAAGGAAAGAAATTATAAAGATCAGATCAGAAATAAGTGAAAAGGTAATGAAGGAAACAATAGCAAAGATCAATAAAACTAAAAACTGTTTCTTTGAGAAGATAAACAAAATTGGTAAACCATTAGCCAGACTCATCAAGAGAAACAGGGAGAAGACTCAAATCAACAGAATTATAAATGAAAAAGGAGAAGTAACAACTGACACTCCAGAAATACAAAGGATCATGAGAGATTACTACAAGCAACTTTATGCCAATAAAATGGACAACCTGGGAGAAACGGACAAATCCTTAGAAAAGTACAAACTTCCAAGACTGAACCCGGACGAAATAGAAAATATGAGCAGATCAATCACAAGCACTGAAATTGAAACTGTGATTAAAAATCTTCCAACAAACAAAAGCCCAGGACCAGACAGCTTACAGGTGAATTCTATCAAACATTTAGAGAAGAGCTAACACCGATCCTTCTCAAACTCTTCCAAAATATAGCAGAGGGAGGAAAACTCCCAAACTCATTCTACAAGGCCACAATCATCCTGATACCAAAACTAGACAAAGATGTCACAAAGAAAGAAAACTACAGGCCAATATCACTGATGAACATAGATGCAAAAATCCTCAACAAAATACTAGCAAACAGAATGCAACAGCACATTAAAAGGATCATATACCATGATCAAGTGGGGTTTATCCCAGGAATGGAAGGATTCTTCAATATATGCAAATCAATCAATGTGATACAATATATTAACAAATTGAAGGAGAAAATCCATATGATCATCTCAATAGATGCAGAAAAAGCGTTTGACAAAATTCAATTCCCATTTACGATAAAAACCCTCCAGAAAGTAGGCTAGAGGGAACTTACCTCAACATCCTAAAGGCCATATATGACAAACCCACAGCCAGCATCATCCTTAATGGTGAAAAACTGAAACCATTTCCACTAAGATCAGGAACAAGACAAGGTTGCCCACTCTCACCAGTATTATTCATCATAGTTTTGGAAGTTTTAGCCACAGCAATAAGAGAATAAAAAGAAATAAAGGAATCCAAATCAGAAAAGAAGTGAAGCTGTCACTGTTTGCAGATAACATGATACTATACATAGAGAATCTTAAAGATGCTACCAGAAAACTAATCAATGAATTTGGTAAAGTTGCAGGATACAAAATTAATGCACAGAAATCTCTTGCATTCCTATACACTAATGATGAAAAATCTGAAAGTGAAATTAAGAAAACACTCCCATTTACCATTGCAACAAAAAGAATAAAATATCTAGGAATAAACCTACCTAAGGAAACAAAAGACCTGTATGCAGAAAATTATAAGACACTGATGAAAGAAATTAAAGATGATACAAATAGATGGAGAGATATACCATGTTCTTGGATTGGAAGAATCAACATTGTGAAAATGACTCTACTACCCAAAGCAATCGACAGATTTAATGCAATCCCTATCAAACTACCACTGGCATATTTCACAGAACTAGAACAAAAAATCTCACAATTTGTATGGAAACACAAAAGACCCCGAATACCCAAAGCAATCTTCAGAAGGAAAAATGGAGTTGGACGAATCAGGCTGCCTGACTTCATACTATACTACAAAGCTACAGTAATCAAGACAATACGGTACTGGCACAAAAACAGAAATATAGATCAATGGAACAGGATAGAAAGCCCAGAGCTAAACCCATGCACATATGGTCACCTTATCTTTGATAAAGTAGGCAAGAATATACAGTGGAGAGAGGACAGCCTCTTCAATAAGTGGTGCTGGGAAAACTGGACAGTTTCATGTAAAAGAATGAAATTGGAACACTCCCTAACACCATACACAAAAATAGACTCAAAATGAATTAAAGACCTAAATGGAAGGCCAGACACTATAAAACTCTTAGAGGAAAACATAGGCAGAACTCTCTATGACATAAATCACAGCAAGATCCTTTTTGACCCACCTCCTAGGGAAATGGAAATAAAAACAAAAATAAATGGGACATAATGAAACTTAAATGCTTTTGCACTGCAAAGGAAACCATAAGCAAGATGAAAAGACAGCCATCAGAATGGGAGGAAACATTTGCAAATGAAGCAACTGACAAAGGATTAACTTCCAAAATTTACAAGCAGCTCATGCAGCTCAATATCAAAAAACAAACAAACCAATTCAAAAATGGGCAGAAGACCTAAATAGACATTTCTCCAAAGAAGATATACAGATTGCCAACAAACACATTAAAGAATGCTCAACGTCATTAAACATTAGAGAAATGCAAATCAAAACTACAATGAGATATCATCTCACACTGGTCAGAATGGCCATCATAAAAAAATCTACAAACAATAAATGGTGGAGAGGGTGTGGAGAAAAGGGAACCCTCTTGCACTTTTGGTGTGAATGTAAATTGATACAGCCACTATGGAGCACAATATGGAGGTTCCTTAAAAAAGTAAAAATAGAACTACCCTACGACCCAGCAATCCCACTACTGGGCACATACCCTGAGAAAACCATAATTCAAAAAAATCATGTATCACAATGTTCATTGCAGCTCTGTTTACAATAACCAGGAGATGGAAGCAACCTATGTGTACATCAACAGATGAATCGATAAAGAAGATATGGCACATATATACAATGGAATATTACTCAGCCATAAAAAGAAACGAAATTGAGTTATTTGTAGTGAGGTGGATGGACCTAGAGTCTGTCATACAGAGTGAAGTAAGTCAGAAAGGGAAAAACAAATACCGTATGTTAACACATATATATGGAATCTAAGTAAAAAAAAAGGTCATGAAGAACCTAGGGGCAAGACGGGAATAACGACACAGACCTACTAATGAATGGGCTTGAGAACACGGGGACGGGGAAGGGTAAGCTGCGACAAAGTGAGAGAGTGGCCTGGGCATATATACACTACCATATGTAAAATACATAGCTAGTTGGAAGCAGCTGCATAGCACAGGGAGATTAGCTCCGTGCTTTGTGACCACCTAGAGGGGTGAGATAGGGAGGGTGGGAGGGAGGGAGATGCAAGAGGGAAGAGATATGGGAACATATGTATATATATAACTGATTCACTTTGTTATAAAGCAGAAACTAACACACCATTGTAAAGCAATTACACTCCAATAAAGATGTTAAGAAAAATAAATAAAATAAAAAGAATGAAAAGAGTGGGTTTTTTTTTTTGGTAATGATATGGCACAGTCTCTAAGATTTAATGTAAATGAATGAAGTAACGTGCCGAAAAAAAAAAGTATATGGGAGGATGTGAGTAGGTTATATGCAAATGCCATGCTATTTTATCTAAGCATTTTAAGCATCTGTGAATTTTGTTATTCGTTCCAGGGGGTCCTGGAACGAATCCCCTGTGGTTGCAAAGGAACTGCTCTATATAATATACAAGTTAAATAATGGAAATACTATGCTGCTGGAGATATTTTTAAGATCAGAATTTGCACATATAATGTGTCCCATTGTTTATATTGGATGACAGTAGAAGAATCCAAATCTCTATTTGTTAAAAAAAAAAAATCTCCCCTGGCGATGCTGATGTCCATTGGGATTGAGAACTTTTGAAATAGGGAATTAGCTTTAGAATTCAGTGCTAATTTGTAGGTTTATTGATTCTTATAGATTATTTGTAATCACTGTATTGCTGGTATTTAAGGGTTATTTTCCCCAGGTAGACAAAGGAGTGATTGATAAAACAAAATGAAAGAAAACACAGAGAATGTATTCTAATGTCTTAAAGGATGTTTATATGGTGTAGCTTCCCAAACTCAGACAGTAAAATGCCCTTTATTCAAGCTCCTGCTTGACAACTGTCAGTGATTGACCAGCCAGGGGAGGTGATGTGGCATAAAGGAAAGAGCTTTAAGCTTGGAGCCAGGAGGCCAGGAACCCTGGGATTCTGTTCCAACCTTGCTGCTTAATGAACTCTGTAACCTTTATCACTTATTTCACCTCCTTGAGTTTCTGTTGCCTCATCTGTAAATTGAGAGGGACTTGAACTAGATTCTTTCTAAGATCCAGTGTCTCAAAATTCAGTGGTTTATTTAATGTTTTAGTAGTTACAAAGCTAAATTCTTAATTTTGCATTTCAGAATCAAGCTCCTAAATACTTGAGGGTAAAAGCAGAGGATTAGATTGATCCAGGGTGAGATAAGGCAGCAAATCAAGACAATAAGCCTGCTAACTGTGTGACTCTCAGGAGTGACCATGCCCAAGGGGATCCAGGATATGTAGGATATGCTGTGAATCTAGGAACTGGTGATTATTTGGGAAAAATTAGAGGGCTCAAGATACTACAGATAGTGGTAAAGTTGAAAAATGGGTGTGGGGGGGAATAAGATGGTAAGTGATCTATAGTTGAGTAGAAGTTTTGGTCGGGAAATGGAATAATGGAGTCTGATTTGAGGTAGAGCAGTTCTGCATGCTGACCAGGAAGGTCCAGTGTTGGCCATGGCGTTGAGTTTTACTGTGGAGATGAGATAAAGGTCACTGGTACAGAGGAAATCAAGGAACTGTCTGAGCTCGACCTGTATAGGTTGTCCATACCAATTTGGGGATCTACCAGAATGGTGGTAGTATGAGGAGTAGGGAGGAAAACTATAATCAGAAGTCAAAATTCTCAGTGAACGTGAGGCCGTGATCAGGAGTGTGGTGGGAAACTAGGACAGTGGTCTTCATTAAGGGAAGAAATGAATGACTTGAGAGACTTTTGCATAAGAGTGGAAGAAGAATATTCTGGAAGTAACAGTGGAAATAAGAGTGATGCTTATATTCTCACTTGGTGGCAATTTGGAAGAACAAGCAGCTCCTATCTGAGAGCCCATATTATGCTGTGGTGTTGTTCTACCTAGAGATCATCACATCCACTCGGGCGGCTGCCGTGGCAGAAAGAATAGGCCCTTGAACCTTTCAAATTACTTGGTTGCCCTACTTTTAAGACTTTTGCTTTTTCCATCTAATTTCCCCAATGTTGACTTTCTTTGTGACTTAAATATTCTCCCCAGCCCTCAAACTTCTTTTGAAGATTTAGAGATATTTTGTTCGTCAGCCTAAATAGAAGCTGATTTCTTCGAATGGATAATTCAGCTAATCGTTGCAGTAATGTGTATTGATTCTTCTTGCTCTAGCAGCTGGATCAATGTGAGGAGTGAATGTCATTATTTCCTGTGCTGTCTACAAACCCAGATATATTCACAAGAGAGGCCGATGGTAATGACTGTGAAGTTTTACTTGAAAGAGTTGTAAATAGTCTGTTACACCTTTGGAAAACTCAGGACAGAAATCCGGTTATGCCTGTTTGTAGCCAGTGCATTGTCAAAGATCAAAAATTCTGGGATCTTTGGTTCTACTTTGGTATCCAGAAATGGAGGACTTCAGTTCTTGCTTCTTCATGCTATAGGATCATGGGACAAACTTCTAGAAATCTACATCACCTTGAACTGCTTGACCTCTGAATATGCAGAATTAATACCTATACTCTTTTAGAGATGAATATAACCATTTATCTTAGATTGAGATAGAGTTAAATATAAACAAAATGCATAATTTTGTAGTAAATAAATGTACTATAAAAACAAATATTTAGACCTTAGTTTAACATCATTTTTCCACAACTGAGCAAACAAAGTCCAGAGAAACAAAGAGACTTTCCCTAATCCATTCATCGTGGTGTTGGCTCTGGGGTCCAGGTATACCAGTTGTCTTTGGTTACTTAATAATTTTCAGTAGAGGTATTAGTGGAAACTGTGTAGTTTGAAGACCAAGCAGTACATTGTTCCATGTTGGTATTTTTAATTTTAGATAATATTTAAAGAAGGATCAAAAATGTTCAAAAGA